TCAGCGTCATTTGTTGCCACTGCATTTCTTTCTCCCATGGAAAGACTTTTTGCAACAAGCAGACTTCATGTATCTGTGCGTCTGAGTTGCAAAACTTGTTGGCGCATGAAAGGGTTTTGCCATTCCGCGAGGTGTTATTGCACTGTTGTACCCTCTTCACCTACAACAATTCATTCATCTTTTTGGCATAAGAATCTGCTAGACACGTAACTTCAACAAAGCCTTTTACGCAGTCCTTTTGACTGACGGTTTTGACTCAATCATCTCTGCAAATTGTAAACGAATTGAGGTGGGGTACATTAATGCCAATTTGGTAACCAATCATCTTGTTCTTCATTTCCTTAGGTTATTTGTGCATTGTATGTCTTTGTTTTTTTTTGCTGTGGTAATTAAATGGCCGATTTCCGATTTAAGCCTTCTTTGAGACACGTCAATGCAGGTGGTCACATTTACAGGCATATCACACCGCATTGCCACCAGGTTGTAGCATCTCTGCCTCTGGAGGCGGTCCCACCTTTCTTTTTCAATCCAAAAATGGTCACATTCTTATCTGACAATTTCGTCTACTAAAAATGACATGGTGTTCTTCCACTCCTCGACTACTCCCATTTGCGAGGCGCGGGAACATCTGTGCTTGATGGCTCCAAGTCATTCATTAGTTGCCGAATAGCCTTTGGGGGATGTGTGCAGGACGAGTTAGAAGGCGGCTCTGGTCTCACCTTGAAGGCCGCATCGTCAGGTCGAATTTGCCGTGTGGAGATTGAAGAGCTTGCATTAGTCCACCGCAATATTACTCAATCCGACTCCTTCTGTTTGTCAAATTTTGGGGGACTGTGTCCAATTTTGTAAAATGAGTCATCCGTAGTTGATGCCTTCTTTCAGTGTTGTTTGTAATTTCTTTCTCTAAACGACCGTTGTCATCACTGACAACGGCGTTGCACTGTGATCCCCTTTGATGACGTGTTTCAATCTGGCTTCACATCAATGAGCAAAGGTTCGGGTTCCTTTCACCGTGTCAGGTATCAAAGCAGTATTTGAGTAAATTGAATCATGCCACGGTAATGGGACGGGTGAATTCGGCACTTCTTGATGGTGTTGTGCAGATTTCCCTCCTCGGTGTGTTACATGGAAAAGCTTTGATCTAAAAAAATTTATTGTTAAAATTGTTACCCTCTCTTGGACAGGGAGATCGTGGCCCAATGGGAGCGGATATTAGCGTCGGCAAGCCGATGAATGGAGCCGATTCCAGTTATGCTAATATCCTCCCTTCCGTGAAAACTGGTGGTGGTGCCGTCCCTCCCACTACTCAATCCCTTCGTGACCAGTCCGCAGATCAGGCACAGGCGCAGGCACAACCTCTTCCCGACCCTCCCGCCTTCCTTCATCACATTTCGAGTGAGTGTTAGGTTTCGTGTGTTTGCTATCTTCCTTTGTGATATTTTGAATCTGGTCCGTCTTCTTTTCAGACGACTCCATCTCAAGTCCCTGGGGCATCCCGCCTCAAGCAGAAAGCTCTCCTGCCCCTCTTCCATCCTCTGTTTCTGCCTCAGCAACACCATCTCCAACTCAACCTCTCTTTGTTAATCATCATCGCGAACCCATTCGTCCTTCCGTGCGACCGAACAGCAGCAGACAGCAATCGCAGCAACAGCAGCAACAAAATTTCCCAACTCTTAAGACGCAACGCATGATGCGAGCCGCTCCTTCTGCCGCCATTATGCTCGGTGAATGCGGTGGTGCCTCTGGCGGCACCGGAGGTGGTGGTGGCAGTAGTAGTCAATCAGACGTCAACGCGGCTGCTGCCGATGGAGATGTCTGCTTGGATGCCATCTACTCCTTTGGCGCGCTGAAGCGTTTGTGTGCAAGGCATATGAAGGAACTGGAGCAAGAAAAACACCGGCTTAAGGCAAGTTGATCGATGCTTCAAGATCTTCTAAACGGTCTAGATTTGTGGGGGAAGGGGGTGGGCAGGGAGGCCAAATGATCCAATGCGAATCGTGAGCACTTGAAAGTGTATATAGTTAAGTGTTCTCCATTGTAGGAGATTGAGCACGCAAAGATGGCAGAGCTGAATCGAGAGTACAGTAACTTCATCGGCGCCAAAAAGAAGTCGTTGTGTCGAATGCAAGCGCAGCATGTGAGTGAAGTTGATCGGGTCTTGAAACGCAACGCAGAGGAGGAGGCGCGCTATGTACGCCATCTGGAGATGCTTGGAAAAGAGCAACTAAAGAATGAACGAAAGAGTCGCCTGCGACCGAAGAGTATGGCTGTTGGTGGCAGCGTTTCGCCCTACAACGATATGCACGCAGTACAGCCGGAATTGGACCTCCTCTACAAGCAAATTCAATCCAGTAATAACCTCAAACTGTGTCAGTGGAAGTACCAAAGGCTGTGCAGTAGGTACAACCTCCAGGTGCGTTCTCCTTCCTATTAGCCAACTCAGAATAGCGAAGGCTATGACGCTTTTGGCTGTTAGTTATTATTTTCCATTGCCCTTTCCTTTGATGTATGTGCGCTGCCGCTAAACGACCACAGTCTTGTGCTCAAACGACCAAACATCGTCCCCGAAACTGTTGTAGTCATTACTCATGTGCATTGCCGAAGGTGGAGGTCGAAAGCCGAACGAGGGTTT